TTTTTTTTTTAAAAAAAAAAAACAATGTAAGTAAAAACATGACATTTAATAATATAAATATGTATTTTTGTTCACATAATACGACAGTTAGTCCGCCTTATCGATAAATTGTCTCACCCAAGAATTTTTCTAAGTTAGGCAATTTTATTTGGTTCTTCCAACATATCTTATATTTTGTGCTGTGTGTTAATCATATATGTTAAGTATCTTGTATTTTGCATGTACCTACGTCTTGAAGAAAATAATATACCTACTAAGCTGCAAATTTATCTGCAATATAATAATTCAGTAATTTCTATTGAATTAAAAAATATTTGTGTGTACTTTATTTGTTATATACATTATATATATATATACTACCAAGATACCTTAGCCTTAATACATATAGATATAGGTATCCACTCATCTCACAATTAGATTGATCAAAACTTCATTCTCAATCATCATAATTTTAATGTAGGAGAAAAAAGTATGTTGACCTCGCACATTGCGACGTACACCTTGTACATGCAAAATATCTATTATATTTATACCTTATTTTGATTTAAATTATTGTAAATTTTATTTCATTAAAAGGTTATATTGTATTTAATTTATATCTCATGTATATAATTAAAATAACTAAAAATTAAGGTAATTAAATTAAAAAGTACCAAAATTAAAAATTCAGCCATCTCGAAGCCACCAGTCGCTTTCGGCCACCACATTAGCTACCATTCGTCGTTGTCTACCGTTAGTAAATTTCAATAAATCATATATAATTTTGAAGTCCTCGATATTCAACGACATGAATAATTTCATCATACGACACCTCAAACTTTGTTAAATCATTATTAGAGTTTCTGAAGAAAATCAAAGAATTGTGCGTTAAATTGTTTTTGAATGACATCAGAGATCTGAATATTTGTGAAACGTATATGTATAGAACATTATTTTCATAAGGAATTCAAGATACCTCCCAATCGATGATTGGACCTCTAAATTGTCAAAGAAACGGAAGTGAAGTCTCTAGATTTTCGACGGTGCGCGGCTGCGGGATGAATATTTCAACCGACAATTTTCGGCAACTTGGTTGCCCTAATTTGATGAGTAAACTCTCAATTATTCCACTTTTTATGGGCAACAATAAGCCTTAATCAAATTGATGTTTTGAACTCATATGAACCTTCAAATTGAAATGACAATTTTTTTTCTTTATTTTTTGTCATTTTTTTGATGGGTACAAGAATTGATTAAGTGAAAATTTGGTGTGGCATGAGATTGATCTCGACTATTGTGGGGACTGTGAGTGGGGCATGCACTCTCCTTGGGAGGATTAGTCCAACTCCTTTGCATGGGGACCCTCTAGACGTGATAGGCCCGTAACGCCAGTTGGTGGGCTGCAGTTGGTGGTGAAGCCGTTGAATAAATGCGGGATACCTCCCAGTCGACAAAAAAAAAAAAAAAAAAACCTTCTCTCTCTTCCTCCCAAAAGAAAAATATGATCTGAAAAATTCGTCACCTTCCAGTCCAATTCTGCCCAAGGGTGCCGGCGTCGGAGCCGGAGCCACCCTTCACCTTCTTCGCCGCGAGACCACGTCGGTGCTGTCAGTTGTGCCTTTGTGTCGCAGGTGAGATCCTCGTCGACGAGAATGAGGGGGTGGGTTGAAGTCGTTTCAGGTAACCGCTCCGGTCGTGGAGTTTTCGGTGTAGGCGATGGAGTCGTCGCGCATTTTGTGCCTGCAATTCTCGACTGTCCTTTTTGATCCGACTGCGACGGAGTTATGTCCTATATATCTCTCGACGATTGATGGTCGAGTGCCACAGTTGAGAGGATGGTGTTGGCAGATCAAAACAAACTTTCAAAGTCTAAACAAGCTTTCTTTGTTCGCACCCAACCCTTTGCGGGTTGGTCAGAAGTCAGTGAAGTTTGGTAAGACAGAATTGGACAGAAATCAATTAGTTATTCGTCAAAGTTTTCTTTATTCAATGACCAGAATTAAGGGCGGATATATTGCTCAGAGACGTAGAACAAAAATGCGTTTCAGTTTTCGGGGAGCCCGTTCAAGCCTTACTCGAACTATTATTGAACAGAAAATATGAGCACCAAAATAAATGACTGCCGAGCCGTATGAGGTAGGAAACTCTCAAGTACGGTTCTAAGGGTCGGAATAGGCACAAAATTGAGCCCTATCATGAAGACATGGAGGACCTTAGCAGGCTCGTTCTTCCGGTGACGCTGTCTGTCTGGCAGAACAACGGGGCTAGCCCCGGTAAAAGAACGTTCGACTTGCATGTGTAAAGCATATAGCTGAAGCGAGACATCAACAGAAGTAAATAAAAGAGATACGCGGGTTCAAAGAACTTGTTTGAGCCTTGTGTTGTATGAGTGTTCTTGAGATAAATATTAAATAAATAAAAATTGAGTTTTGTTGAGTGTCTCTTTCTCTATTGTTATATATTATTTCCAACAGTAACCTGAGCCTTAGCCGTAGCCATATGGAGTTTGGAGTTTGAAGTGCCTATATTTGAGTTTCTTGCCTTGGCGATTCCTCTTCGTTTGGTTGTCCAATGCTTCTTAGTGTAGTGAGATGAGCTTGTGGGTTGCTGGGAAGGACTATATTTTGTTTATTGATAGTTTGGTTTCTTCACTAGTCTTTTTTTTTTCTTATTTTATTGTTTGATTGGTTGTTAGTCTCACTTGGTGGAGTATTTTAGGCTATGTTTGGTAAAACTAGCTGATAAACTAGCTGATAACTGAGAAGCTAGCTTACAGCTTATATGTAATTTTTGAGCTTATAGCTTATAGCTTATGACTTATAGCTGAAAAGCTAGCTTATATGATAAAAGTGTTTGGTAAAATTAGCTGATAAGCTAGCTGGAATAAAATATTCAACTAGCTTATTTGAA